ATAGTCAAGGTTAGAGTATGTATATAGTATGAGAAGATCTTGTTTAGAGGCTAAGAGAAGAGTATGAGAAGTATTTGTTAAGAGGCTAAGGTAAGAGTATGAGAAAATAACTAGTTTACACACACACACACACACACACAGAGAGAGAGAGAGAGAGAGAGAGAGAGAGAGAGAAATGAAAGAATGAGCTGAATAACAATGTATTCTCTTAGATGACAGAGTATGAGAAAGAGAAAAGAAAAAAGATAGATAAGAAAACATAGAAGAATAAATCGTCAGACACGTCGTGTCTGATACTGCATAGACGTTTATGTTTTAAAGGTTCAGGTAGTAGCAGTCATTGTACCAGAAAAAAAGACAGGATCACAATGAAGATTTATATAGTAGGTTGATATTATGCATTTTTGTTGTGGTTGTAATTTGTATGTAAGAATTTGTTGTAAGCTCGTGATTTTTCTTGGGAATTAAAATGTTTTAATTAGAGTAGAATTCCGTAATGTATGTAAAACTCTGATAATTTCCATAGATTATAAGTGTAAATCTGAGTAGTTACAAGAAGTATGACATGCTTTTTTTTTGTTTATATTAGAAATACTACAGTTTCTTGGAAAAGCTAGAAACAAAATACCTTTCCAAGGTCTTCCAAAAAATCATAATTTAGAACTTTGGTTACAATTTCATGTGAATTATGTGGATTTTGAAATTGTGTTTTGATTTAGGTGTTAGGAGTCTTATGCTTGTTGGTGTTTATTGTGATAACGAATAAACTATTAAACTGGCTTTAAATCCAGTATTTCACGAAAAACTAAACATATTAAACTAGATTTTCATTTTGTTCGTGATACAAAATCGCTTCAGAAAATCAAAGGGCTGATATTTTTACTAAATTTATAACTTCAACTCAAAACAATTGTTTTTATTCTGAGTTAGATTTTTTTATTCATTTCAAGTATAAAATTTAAAAATTCCTTTATGACTATCTTGATAACGGGTGTTGAAAGAATAAAAGTTCGTTGTTATTAAGTTGGAAGATTATCATAAAAGATTGTTTGAAATGTTGTGTCTATTATTTATATGCAGGTGGTAGTTTATGGAGGACTGAATATGCTTAAATTTAAAATTAAAGGACTATAGCTCGTTTAATAGATTCTTCATTTGGACATGCGGGTCTAGATTGGGTCGGATCTTGGGTTTAGTATAGGTTAAACCGATGTTTGACCTATGGTGATTGTTCGATGTATTCAATGTTGTTTTAGCTCTTGTTTGTTCATTGTTCAGTCTTTGAGCTCTCTATATTTTCTCTCTTGTTTTGTTCTTCGTTGTCTTGTAGCAGAAATTAGGGTTTCACAGTTTTGTATAGATTCGTTTGTTATCTCTTGTAATCTAGATTTATACTTTGTGTTCATCGGAGCATGAGTGTCATTGTAGTGAGCTTTGTTGTGTAAGTTGTATGTAAATCAAATGGATCTTATTTTCATAATAAAAATCTATTGATGTTGTAATAGATTTGTGTTTTTCATCATCAATAAAAAAAATCAAACTTGTTATAAATAACAAAAATACTAATTTTCATTTATTTCTAATCATTTCTTTATATACAATCCAATCTTTATTTTTAAGCCTACGATCCTTAATTATCAAAAATTAACAATTTTAATTTCTCTTCTTTGAACTCTAGAAATGGCAACGTGCAACTGCTCCTGTGTTCTCTAAAAAATAAATCAACATTCAATAAAGATTGTCATCAACCCTTGTTAATTGTCATTGTAAAAGTAATGACTAATAAAATAAAGGTCTGAGTTGAAATTTATCTTTTCATAGGAAATATATATGTATTTATTTTATGAGTTAAAATGTTGAAGATGATTAAAGACATTTGTTATATATAATTATAAACTGAGTTAATAATAATAAAAAAATTAAGTAATTATTCATAAAATAGACAAAGAAAGATATTTGAAATAGTTTATAAAGATTACAGGAAAGGAAAGATAAGAAGAAAATCAAAATTCCTATCATATGAATATTGTTCTTAGTATTAAAAGCTTTAGATGATGTTTGAGCCTTTGATATATATATATATATATATATATATATATATATATATATATATATATATATATATATATATATATATATATATATATATATATATATATATATAAATTAAAGGTTAGGTTCATGTGAGATGACCTAATTTTGTGAGATCATGAGACGCAATCCTAGCCATTCATTTGGTAGATAAAAAAAAAACATTTTTAAAATGCAAAATAATTGAAATTTTTTGAATTTTTTTAAAATATTATTTTCGAAATTTATATTTTCCAAAAAAAAATAACAAAAACCAAAAAAATATGAAAAAATACATTTTTTTTTACATATTCTAGTAGAATAAATAGATTATTCTACATATCTGAGAAATCTAGTATAATATTCTAACATTCTAAAAAACACATTAGAATATTTACAGTGTAATATTTTATTAGAATATTTCACGTATTTAAAAAGAAACGGTAATTTTTGTATTTTTATTTTTATTTTTTTAGGTAATTAAAGTTCCAAAAATAATAATTAAAAACAGAAATTTTTGGATTTTTTCTTTTAGTTTGCATTTTAAAATTATTTTTAGATTTGCTCTCACGGTATCACAAAATTAGCATGGTCTCAAATGAACCTGAACATATATATATATATATATATATATATATATATATATATATATATATATATATATATATATATATATATATATATATATATATATATATGGATTTTTCTATTATAAAGTATAATTTTTTTAATTAGCGTTGCTATTTAGCACATCTATAATGCACATGTTCTTTTATGAGTCTATAAAAGAAAAAATTAAAATTAAAATAGAATAATAAATCTATATATAAGTTTAATAATTAATTTAGAAATCATAAATAAATTTAAACTATAAGAAAATAAATATAAATTACATTATAGTAATAAATAAATTTAAATTGGTTATATATATATATATATATATATATATATATATATATATATATATATATATATATATATATATATATATATCTTTACTATCTTATAAAAGAAATCTAACTATTTCTAAAAATAGATTGATTATAATAATAATATTTTTTTAAGATGTCCAAATGATGAAGCTGATAGTACAAGTAATCATTAATAAAATAATATTAAATTTTAACCATATTTTGAATTCAAATATTTATCATCAAATCTCCTTATATTTCTCAACAATTTGATATGGTTTCCTCAAAAATCTCGGATTCATTCAAATTTTGAACCCTTTTAGATATCCTTAAATTTAGCATGTTGATTCAAATATCCCTCCAATCGCATATACCTCTTTGCTCCCTCCTCTACTATAAAGTCTACCGTGCATGAACAAAAAATGACTTCATTTCCCAAATAACACCATAGTTTGATTATTTTGTCTTCGACGTGTACTTTCTTTTGTAACATAACATTTTTGTAGAGGAAACATATCACTAAAAGAATTTACATGCCCCGCCGCTTTGCGCGGGTGCACTGCTAGTGTATATATATATATATATATATATATATATATATATATATATATATATATATATATATATATATATATATATATATATTAAAATTGTCAATCCTTAAACTTGCTAAAGATTTGACAGTTTTAGTCCTTTGATTATGGATAAGATTGCAGTTGTGTCTTCTTTTATGGGGCATTTTTTTGTAGTTTTCTATTTGCTCCTTCTAATTGATTTATTAATTTTTTTTTCCTATCGTGTTTCTGGAATGTGTATTCCACCACCGCCAAGCTTCTGACACAACATATACGTGGGTTCTTCCCTTTTCTTTTCTTCTGCATCTCCTTGCTTACTCACCCTTAATTGCATCTCTTCCCACCGCCATTGTTTCGTAGAGCTTCCACCGCTTCTTTTTCATTTTGCATCCCTTCAATGCGATTCTTACCCTTTTCGTTTTAATTCTGTAATCGCCGGTGTGAGGTCTGATTTTTGCCTCTTCGATTTTACCCCAACCGATTCATCGATCTTCACATCAGACGAACCCATCCCCACCTCCAATTGCTTCGCTTTTCTGTACCGACATCGACTTAGGTTCAGAGGAAGACCGACAAACGGAGTCGTTTGACGATGCGATGTATCACTCCACCATCGCTTACGTGTGTTTCTTGTGCGACAGATGCAGAAGCGACAGGTAGGTGAGCAAGATGGAGAGTCGGGTGTCTCCTTCACTTAGACGACAGCTGAAACACTCAGGCACACATATATGTGTTGCTTCAAAATCCACCAGTGTCGCTTCTGCAACCCACGACCATCATCACATCAGGTTTAATTTTGGATTGATTAAAGTCCAAAACCCCCACTTCCGAACTTGTGCTTCAAATCTTACAGTCTAATAATCCATGATCGATGGGTCTGAAATCAGTTTATGTTTCTTTTGCGTTCATAGATCGATTTTAGGTTCTAGACGTCTCCCTTATCAATCCAAACTTCACAAATTGAATGTTTCGGGATTCAGGTAGGGTTGAGCACTCAAATTTTATAATTCCATGCTTTGTCTATTTCAATTTTTGGGTTAATCACTTAATTGGTTATTGACCTGCCCTCTTTACTGTGCAGTATGATGCTGGATACAGACCCGATGAGGATGAAAGCAAAGAAAACAACGACTCCTACTGATTACGTGAGTTTCTTACCATTTTTAATTAGGTATATTAGATTAGATTATTTCCCCAAGTTTGTTTGTTCATAGGCGAGCTCTCTAACAGGCGCTAAATCAATAATATGTTATGATAAGACACTCCCATCTTTCTTCTGGGATTTTTTCTTGTGCCTACTGTAAGAGATAAATTAACCATTTAATTTTCATGATTTTTTTATCTTGACAAAAATATTTATTAATCCCAGAAATATAAACTAAGTGTATGTGTATATGTTTGTGTTTTGTTTTGGTTTTTGATGTTGCAAATGTGATTCTTATGCAGGTTCTTACAAACTCTCATTCATTGTGTGTTGCATAACAAGCTTCATATTTATATAGGTTTTATTTGATAAAAGTAAATATGTTACTAGAATTGCAACTAATATCATCAGAATTGGGAAAGATGGCTCGAAAAGGATAATTTTCTTTAACGTTTCTCTCCTATTTTGTGGACAAATATGGGTATTAATATTATATTATTACTATTGGACCATAAGGATCAAGATAGGAACAAACATAGTTGGTAAGGTAACAATCCTAACCATTTGTTTCCTAATGTAGATAATTCTATTTTTTTTTTTTCTTTTTTTATGTTTTTCTTTTTGTAAGTAGAAAGAAAGTTTTAAGAATACATCATGATTTCATAATTGCATCACCTGTTTGTGTCATTATAAACACAATCTTGCAACATTTTATCATGTAGATGTTGGTTTTAAGAGAAATTGATGGAATGGTCGTTAAGTTATAAGGCTTTCTTCCCACCTTTGTCTCTTTTTATGTTATTTTGTTTGTATGTGCTAAATTATAAATCAACTAAGTAATTGGGTCTTATATTACTGAAAAACAAGACTTGATCATTTAGGTAAAATTATATTCAAACATTTTTTATTAAATTTCTTAGGTTGTAGGTGAGAAGAAAGCTCATAATAACATAAATGATGAGGTAGAACCAATTGATCACTATGTCCATAACAGTTGGAAGAACTTGAGCATACTGAGGTTTGTTTTTATTTTCCATTGTAATGACTAATATAGGTGTAAGCTATTAGACTCTAATTTCAAATGTATATTGGGCTAAATGCCCTTTTTCATGTTTCTGAGTGATTTTTTTTAGTGATAGTCATGTAAAATAATGAAGTTTTTGCTATTTTTAAAGCCTGTGTAATAAGAAATGTCCAGGCTTATGATTCTGATGATTAAAATCACGTTTTCCTTAATGTTCATCATTTTTCAGTTGAAGATTAGGTTTTTCTTATTGGCTTCTAATAAAACTTAAGGATAGACTGGTGACCGGCCTCTTTTCATTTGGGTCAATTAGTCCTTAGAGTTTTTGTAACCATAACAAGGGTATTTTTGTAATTTTGTTCTTTTGGTGCTTGTAGATAATTTCTTTTAATGAAGAACAACAGCATCAATCTCAACACAACTTAAATGAATTTCTTTTTTGCTTCAATTTCAGTATGGCTTGCTCAATCAAGGAGTGGAATGGAAAATCCTCATAAATATGTTTTTATCGCTGCTCATTCAAGGGTTGAAGATAGGGATTTCTCAAATGATGATAAAAAAGATGCAGAACATTTTGCAGCTGCTAATGGTGAGGAAGATATGGTCAGTGAGGTTTTGTTGGATGTTTCGTCTATATAATAATCAAATCTTTTTTGTGTTTTTGAATGATATTATTAATAATCTATGCAGCAATTTTGTTTGGTATTTGTATTTACGACTTATTCATTCAGTTTTTCTCATCAATTGAGGTTAATCTCCTTAAAAATCATATATATATATATATATATATATATATATATATATATATATATATATATATATATATATATATATTTTTGTGTTTTTTTATGACATTGTTTGATGCTTCCTCTTTTGAATCACGTTGGACTCAATGATCCAAAAATTCGATATATTTTGTGTTTTCTTATGATATTATTGATAGTTTATGCATGAGTTTTGGATATTTTTTTAATCACTCTTTTTGATGAAATTTTGGGAATTTTCTTGAATTGTCACGGAATGGAATCTCAATACTTGAGATTGAAACGATATTTTTGCAAGAAGTTTCAGATCTTAACAATTAGGGAGCAGAATTCTCATATTGCCCTTTTCATAAATTTAGTCTTATTAGATGTGTTGTTGTGATGGGAGTAATAAACAAAAATAACAACAAATCTACAAAAAACTACATTTGCATGGGTCTCTACACTAATATCTAATAAATTTTATATCTACTTCCTAAGTTTTGCCTCTATATACATTGTTGTGCTATTGTTTCTTATACATTAAGCAAATTTATCCATTTTAGATTTTCTTCTCAATTTTGAACTAAATTAGGTTTTGGGTTGAACTGAATGGCCTTTGGCTGTACAGATGACTGATGAGGCCAAATTGAATCCCATAAATCTCACCAATGACATCATCCCACGTGTCATGCCATATCTTTATAACTCTGCTAAGACGTATGGTATGTAATGTATACACATGAGCAGTGATAGTAGATCTTATTTGTTGAGTTTTTCAAAGAAATTTTTTTACAAAAGTTTTTAACTGAATTTTTTTTTTGTCACAAATTCCATTCATGTTTATACAAGTTTTAAAAATGTTCAGATTTTATAATTAGTTTTCAGAATAGTAAATCTTGACCAATGAAATCCATTAGCATGTCTTTCCAAATTTTATATGCTGATCACATCTATGTGTCACATACATGATGTTATTTCAAAGACCAAAGTACAATCAGCATAACTATAGATTTTATGTGGTACCTTTGCATTTAAATTTTCCATATGAGTTTAGATTACACATATTATATGCAAAAGTGAAAAGCATCATATAGGCATAGTTAAAAAAGCTGTTCGTTTGACCTGAAACTCAAACAGTAAGATCCCGAATATAAATTAAAGGCTACGATCTATATTAATTTTGTTCAACAATGCGTAATCTGATCTTTCAAACAATATGTATTAAGTCCTTTGGATATTTGTATTCAGGTAAAGGTAAAGGAAAAAATTTATATACATGGATGGGCCCATGACCTTTTGTGCACGTAACAAAACCTGCACTAAGACGACTGATTTTGGCAAATTATTCTCAATTTCAAAAACTAGATGGAGGAAATTCGTTGGCAAAGTTGCTACTAAGTGGGTTAGCAGATGTTGAAGCTGATCAATGGGCAAAACATAGAAAGATTATAAATCATGCATTCCATGTGAAAAAGCTTAAGGTTCATCTTCTTTATGGATTACCATAGCAAAAGTGTCAATATGTAACTAAAATTAATAAACCACTGATTCCATTAATGCTCCTTTTTGTAGCATATGGTACCGGCCTTTTACATTAGTTGCAGTGATATGATCAACAAATGGGAAGTATTAACAAAAGAAAGATCATGTGCAGTGGATGTACAACATTTCGTAGTAGCTATGAAGAAGGAAGAAAGATATTTGAACTTTAAAAAGAACAAACATAGTTAGTTATGAAGGGTTTACAATCGGTAAGTGCACTAATTTCCATTAATAATTTTGGTTTTTAGCATCTTAATCATTCCAAAAAAATCATGCAAAACCGTTTGCTTAAGGAAGAGGAGGAGCGAAAACGCCATTTTTGTTTCTGTGATGATGATTCCGTGGGGTGTCAGCCATGATCACATGTGGCGATATTGCGTCCCTCGAGAGGGAGCCTCTGGTAAGTTAATGTGACTTAATACTAGATATAATTTTAATTTTTTGTTGGAGAATACCAACATGCTTTACTATTGCTACCAAATGAGCAATATATTTTACTTTTTATCAATAATATAATTGTTTTCACATACATGAATAAAGTCTTTTTCTTTTTCAAATTTTCTAGAGTTGAGTGGATGACCATTTTACTCTTATGTCTAAGAATTTAACGCTCCAACATTACAACAATTTGCAATGAGACTATGAGTCAATCTCTCATCAGTTGTACATTTGAAAGATATTGAAATATTTTTCAGCAAATATATTCAGATAAAAGAATAAGATTGATTTTTATTGGGAGAATTTCATATATGCCCCTCTTAAACTTCAAAATATCATATTTGCCCAGTTTAATTTTTCAATATCATATTTACCCTTCATAAACCTTCAAAATATCATATTTGCCCAAATCATTTTTATAATGTTTTTAATATTTTATAATTATTCTTTATACCTTAGAATTATTATAATAATTAAAAATATTAACCATATGATCCTTACGTCTATGATAATGGAATTAATAATTATATTTAAGTAATTTTACTCTAAAACTTTGTAGTTTTAAATTTGGTTATTTAAAATTGGTTAAATGATAGCTTAAACTTTTTTAATTTCAGTTGAAAAAGTAGTTTTTAGGATGATATTGGCCATGCACACTTTTATTACATTAATAAACTTCAATTCTTCATAAAATCCAACTACAGTTTTAGTGTCCTGTGGTATACGGATGGCTAAAAGAGTGATTAGCCATGGTTCAAAAATGGAGATCATGTCTGATTTGGAATTGGAAGACGAATGCTATGAAGAGATATTGGTCACGGATGATAGGTTAAAAGGGTTGGATGCATTTTCTGAGAAGCGGAAACCATAGTACAAACGCGGATGAAATTAACGTATTTTGGTTTATTGATATTGGCAACGTACTTTAGTTTTTTTTCTTTGATAAGGTGTATAAGTTTTTTTGATAGGTACTATGGGCGGATGGTTGTCTTACTTTAACATGGAGTTGCAGAGAGAGAACTTGGTCTTTTCAATAACTAGGAGGGGAAGTGATGATGGCAGGAAGGGAAATAGGGGTAAATTAGTCATTTGAGGATAGGAAGGGTTTTTTGTAACTAGGATGGGAGGTGATGATGGCAGGAAGGAAAATAGAGGTAAATTGGTCGTTTAAGGATCACCGATTGTATTATTGCTTTTGTAACTTAGGATTAGACTTTTAATTCTTATACAATTGATTAAAATTCAATTTTTTTTAACTATATATGTCACCCATAATAGCAACATACTTACATTTCGATACCAATATCAACAATGGTCATCAAATCACCAACAATATACTGAGCATCCTGTCGGTTTTTTTTTTATTTTTATTTATTTTTTATTTTTTATTTTATACTTTAGTAGCGAATCCAACCCCCGGGAAGCGGGGTTTCCTTATGTAGTTTTAATTATTCATCTATGTAATAATATAAATAGTAATTGATACAAACTGTTTTAGTAGTTTTAGATAGACTACACAGTTTTTTAATCCATAACGAATGCGTATAATTAAACATAGTTGATATATAAAATTCGGTGATTAATTTAAAAATTCATAAATAATTATTGGTAGAGGGAAATGTTTAAAATGTCATTTCAAAATACGGTTCAGTAAATATCCACGTATCAATTATGTTTGAGAATACTTTTTAAGTTACAAAAACTGTCGTATCCATTTGGGAATTATATTGGTCGAAAATATATAAATATTTTTATTATCAATCATGTAAAAGATATAAAAAAATTAAATATTATTATAAATACATTAAAAAATATTAATTATCTTAATTATTTATTTATGTAATAATATCAACGGAAATTTACACGGTTAGTTCCGGTGGTTTTAAATCGATTCCAACCCAATCATAGCCCAATAGACCCAAAACTAAGTCCTTAGATCAATTAGGGCTTCATTAGGCCCATGAGGGTTTTATAAGGCGGGCACCACCTACAACTACCTCGGGTAGTGGTGGTCGACGGCGGCTCACAGCGGCGGCCACCACCTCACGGTGGTGGTTAGGGTTCTAGTCCAATTGAGTCCAAGCATCCAAAAAAACAACTAAATGCAAGCAAAAACACTCTGCCATCCAACACGACGGTTGGTGGCGGCAGCCACCACCCTACGGTGGTGGTTTTGAGTTTCTTTTCTTTCTTCTACTTTCTAATTACATTTTACAATGTTTTAACCCAAAATAAACACACACACTAATAGATAAACACACACACAACCACCCGTGTGGTTGCCAACGGTGGTAGATGGTGGCAACCACCACTTCACGATGGTGGTGGTGGCTGTTCTTCGAGAATTCCGGCCAAACAACACACAACACCACTTCATTGCGATAGACACACACACACAGAGAATATACCCGAACTGGTGACAACTTTGTCTTCAACGGAAATAGGCGGCAACACCACCAGAGTTAAGATACAACACTGAAGAGATAGCGACGATAGAAGGAGGATGGTGCTGTTTCAATGGCGGAGCTGCAACGACAGAAGGTAGATGTGACATCCCTACTTTCACGGTCAGAAAAGACCGATTTTGTTTATGCTTTATAAAAATCAGAATACATCTTTTAATAAAAATGTTGCGGAATTTGTTCCCAGTAAAACATGATAAATACGTTATCAAAACATTTACAAAGAAAAGTATTTTTAATTCCTTTTAAAACATTTGGGATGTCGTCGTCAATACAGAAACATAAGCATAAACAAAACTTACATTTATTTACACTAGTGATCCACATCTCTTTAATCTCATAGTGTAATGTGACATCATCTCAATACCTGTAATATAAATAAACTGAGTGGGTCAGGTTGGGAAACCTGTTGACTACATAGGGTTTTTAACCCACAATAATATAATTATTATGTTTAAACAACCAAACAATCAACCCAATTACTCATCCACATTATCTTCTTTACTCTTAAGGATCTATCCTAAGAGTCATCTATCCCGCATTCGTTCATTCTGAAGTCCTTTGCTTCCAGAGTTATAAGACTGGCACTAAATCCATAGCTTCCAATGCTCGTTTGTAAAGCACTAATTCCATAGCTGATGGGTACTAAATCCATAGTTACCAGTGTTTATCTAATAGGTACTAAGTCCATAGCTACCAATTCGTAACAAGTACTAAGTCCATAGCTACCAGTGTTTGTCCAATAGGCACTATGTCCATAGCTGTCGATGTTATTTGTTACGGACTAAGTCTATAGCTGCCAATGTTTACTCATATCATTTTTTATCTCTCATCATTCGTCTACCCATCTCATACCCAACATACTTGTATATTTAAAATACGTATACAGTTCAAATCATTTAAAACATGTATAAAAAAAACGTTCATCCAGCATAGACAGCAAGTATTCAGATAATATGCACACATAGCACGTAGTTTATATAAAATACTTCATATCTATGTGTAAGATGAAATAACTATGCACTCACCTGAGAAGGTGGTGACTCGGTACTCGGACAACGCTTCTTTTACTTTTAAATAATTAGCTTCGATGAAACCTAGTATTATTACCACTAGATTTTAGTCTAATATTTACCATGACTAATTATTAGTCTTATTATTATTATTATATAAGCGTTTAAAGAATACTTTCCAACCACTATGTACAGACAGGGGCCATACATAAAACACCGCAGGGCAGGACCATTTTGGCGTATAGCACTTCTGAAATCCAAGAACCCTATGCGGCCCTTTAAACCAGATTCCCCGTACCGTGAGTAGTTAAAAAGATATTATAACGACACTTATACAAGTCATAGTAATAGCTAAAATATTTATTATAAATTTATAGTAACAATAGTAATTTTAAATATAAACTATATTTAAAATAGGGTAAGCATAACTTACTTACAAGGGGATTTTAGCTAGGAGTCGGGCTCTGCAGGGGTAGAACTTCGTCGCTGAATCTTTCTAAGAAAGATTCATGCAGCGCTTCAGTGCTCATCTTACTATACTAAAACTATAGAAAGAGAAGTTGAATCATGAGGGACCGAAATGCTCGGGGTGATAAGGAGAGAAAGACTCTTGAATCAAGAGAATGGTGCAAGAAATATGAGAGGCCAAAGCTCTTATTTATACTAATTGAATTTTCAGAAACTACCCTCCATAATTACTTAATGACCTTTTAGTTATATAAACAACTAAACACCCCTCTATAATACTATTTTAAATGGATTTAATGATATTTGTACTAAACTAATGTCGAAAGAACTCAACATTAGTCTTATAATGACCGCATCGTCGATACCTTTCTAATGATATATACATATGTATATATATGTGTACGTATATATGATTTATAGTTTATATTAATACGTAAATATGCTATTGTAATTTGTAACTCGTTCATACGAACTCCATTTTTGACGTTCTGTATAGACAAAATTGCAAGAATGGTCCCTGTGGTATGTCAAAACTTTCAACTTTGGTGCAAAATGGGTTTGGCTCGCAAGGATGGTCCAATAGTTTTGTTTTGTTGCGAGTATAGTCCAAAAATTTTAAAACTTTTTATGATGACGGATTTTCCCTTGGTATTTTCCCTTTTTTCAATTTTTTTATTACAAATGTCAAAAAAAGAAAAAGAAAAAAAAATCTCTCTCTCTCTCTCTCTCTCTCTCTCTCTTTCTCTCTCCTCTCTCGCTCTCTACCTCTCTCTCTCTCTCCAGTTTCAATACCCAAAGATTCAATACACCATCATCTTCTTCAATACCCTCGTCTTCTTCATAAAACCTAACTCCTCACCATCATCTCTCCTTCCAGCCACCATAAATCAACCACCAACACCACGATCAAAAATCAAAGTTTGTGCAATCATCCTTACTCATGCTCAAATCAAATATATATCAAAATCCCACCATTATCTCCTCACTGCCCCTTTCTTATAGATCTGAAATTTTGCTCACATTTGCAACGGGTATCTAGATTTCAAGAAGGTTTTCTGAATCGTTTCATTCTTCAAAATCCGATTTTATTCTTATTATCTGTAATCAATCGATGGAGGTTTTCTATTAAACGGGTTCATCTACCCTTTGATCTCTATGAATCGGTGATTAGGGAAGGGTCGGGTATCGGAAGCCACCAAATCTAACACCAAATATTGATTTTGTTTCTAAATACATACACAAACAAATTTCTGATGTTGTTTCTAGAACTCAAGAACAACACAGCTTTTTGGGGGGAATGTTCCAGAATAACCCTTGATTTTCTATGTTGTTTTTGTTTCTAGAACCAAAAAAAACACAGAAAAAAATTGAAGCTGTAATATATACCCAGATATGGAGTGGTTATACAGATTTGTACATGATGTTCGATTACATGACTGAAACTCTAATTGAAAGAAACGAATTGAATATACCTTTTATTGTTTCCAGAATGGTCTCTTGCGGTCTGCTAAAACCCAAAAAGTGAAGCTTTTTCATCCTAAGAAGTATGTGTGTGTGTGTGTTTTGTTATAATGATTGTTTGTGTGTTTTTTTTGTTTCTTTGGATCATTCATTCTCAGATTATGTATAATCGAACAAGAGATAGAGAAAAACGATAAACATATGGTGATGGGATTTTGTTTGATTCTATATCTGCAAGTTTGAAGCAAGAAGAAAACTCTCAATTTGTAGGTTTGAATCAAGAAGAAAATTGATGGTGTTTGATTTTGGAGGTGTGAAAGTGATAGAGACAGAGATGGTGTTCAGGAAGAAAACACCTTCTATTTGCAGGTGAAGGTGATGGAGATGGGTTCGATTGCTGAGAGAGAGAGAGAGAGAGAGAGAGAGAGAGAGAGAGAGAGAGAGAGAGAGAGAGAGAGAGAGAGAGAGAGAGAGAGGGAGAGAAAGAGGGAGAGAAAGAGAAAGAGAGAGATTTTTTTAATTATTTTTTAATTGTTGTAATAAAAGAAAAATGGTAAATAAAATAATAAGGGGCAAATCCGTCATTATAAAAAAGTTCATAGGAAATTGGACTAAACTCGGAACAAAACGAACTATTGGACCATCCTTGCAAGCCAAACCCATATTGGACAAAAGATGCTAGTTTTGACATACCACAGGGACCATTCTTGACATACTCTACAACTTTCGTTTAGACTCCATCGGATAATTTTGAATTTATTTTTAAAGTCATATTTTTAACAGGCTGGGACAGGATTGGTCCGTTAAAATCTCATAACTTCTTCATCCGATGTCCATTTTCTTCTGTCTTTTTATCGTTACACTACTAATAACGAGATCTTCGATTCTCGTTTCGGTTGTGTTGGCTAAAAATTGCTCGATCTAATACTCGAACTTCGG